ATTTTATTCATCTTTATAAGATTCAAGGTTTTTGGAAGTCTTAGACAAGGTCTTATAAAAGATGACATTTGTACCCTATAAAAGGAAAAAAATACAGTTTTAGCGAAATAAGATTTTCTAGAATCCAGCTTTAGATACCAATGCTTATTAGCATGGTGAGAAAAAAGATGTGATTTGTGGTGACTTGCAGTGATAGCAAAAGCTTTTAACACTATATATTATAGAATACATGACGGAAATAGAAGACAAAAATACCCAATAAGTATGAATTCATGACAATTTCTCTGAATGCCTGGATACCTATCGTTTTTTAACCTAAAATAAATTTGTTGACCAATTTTCAGTTAGAAAATGCATTGCTGTTATTCCAATTCGCTTTTTCTGCAAAAATATTTTATATTTGACAGTTTTCCCTGTATAATATGATTAACTTTAATCTTTAACCTTAAAGAAATACTGTGGATAAATTTACATAACTTTGTGGATTCAGAGATACTTTTATGAGTATTTTTGATTACTTAACTGCTAATTTTATAAACCTGAGGATCGGACTACCTTAAAGATTAATCTTATTTTTATTTGAGATAAAGTACGACTCATTTAAAAGAATATACAGAACGCTTTCTCCGACGATTCATTATTTTTTTATTTATTGAATTGAGTCATTCTTGTTTTAAAGGATTTATAATCAATGATGTTCTTCAATGTTTTCTAAAATTTTGGCGATATTAATTTAACTGTCTCTTCATTTGCAATGCCTATCTTTAATTGATTAAATAAATATTTATTACTCGTTATATAAGCGTCTCATTTATTGAATAACATACTGTTGATGGCACATGTATAGTATCAAGATCCTATGATCTTATTTAAGCAATAGAAAAAAATCCGATTTATAATAATAACTTGCGATTGCATTCGAATACGAAATTACCAATCGGTTTTACGCTAGACCCGTCGACAGAATGATGTGCTAATCGTAAAAAATACTCAATGATAGTTGGTGGTAATATTTTGTCAAGTAAGCGCTATTTATATATACACAAAAATGTTTGAAAAAAATTGAAACATGCTTTATATATATGCATATCAAACATAAATAATATGTAATAATACATGTACGTTGTTTTAAAATATAATTTGATTGTAGACTTTAAAGGACAGAAGGGATAAGAAGCTACACAATAACCTTACTTCTTTAGCTAGAGAGCTATATAGGTTTATAGCTCTATAGAGCTATATGGCTTTATAGCTACACAATAACCCTAACAGTGCTCAAATTTGATTTCATAATTCAATGAAATATGAAGATAATAAACAGAATTCAAGCTAAACAATGCAAACCAAAAGCAGACCTAAAACGGACCGCTTAAACATCAAAGGTGGGATCAGGTGCCATGGAGGAGTCGGCATCCCCAGTCGACCGTCACACATGCTGTGTGTCCTTGTCATGATATAGGCAAATTGAAAAATCCGTAGACAATTTAGTGTGTAGAAATGTTCTAACAGTAGGTATACAAAGAGTTACAACAAAGCTCTATGATAAACGTGATAACTTTAACTTTTCTATCGTCAACTTCCCTTTCTTATGCAGCGATATACCTTCATCACCTGCAAAGAAGTTAATATCTCAGTTGATTCGATACACAAGAGGATATGCTCTACGTATGTACAATTTCTAAAACGATGTAATTTATTGACAAACGAGTTCATGAAACAAGAATTTCAGCAGTCTCGTCATCATTTCGTAAGTTCTATGGTGGATACAATGACCTTGTCAGCAAATACAATTTATCATTGAGTTCAAATGCTGACAGACGTTTTTGTTACTAATTTTAGTCCAATATTTATACACTGAATTGACGACGGATTTTCCCGTTATTTCCCGATCATGACAAGGAGCACACGGCGGGTGTGACCAGTCGGCAGGGGATGCTCACTCATCCATGGTACCTGATCCCACCTCTGATGTTTTGGAGATCCGTGTTTGCTCTGTTCCTTTTTTGTATTTTTATGGACTTTTGATCTTGAATACTGTTCGTTATCTCCATATGTTTCATTAGCCAGTATTCAACTAAATGATATAATTATATACTGTTTATCATTTTCCGACCGAGTAACTAGCCAACCGGTTAGCAACTGCTATCACTAATAAGAAAATAATGGGTATCTCCTTTCCTGAATATGCTTGAATATTTTCAAGTCATATCAGCTACATCGTCACAAACCACGGCCATAATGTACGTATGAATGAATTTCTTTTCCTTCAGGTAAAGGCCATTCTTTCTTAATAACATAAGTAATAACACTATATACATTTTTTTATTTCCCCTAAACAACACTAATAAATGCCTCTACAATGACAATGATTATAACATTTTTCTCTCTGTTCTCAAGCAATTGTTCGTCTGTGTATCGAGTTAAATTTTACTTTAATCAATATAGTGGTCTCTAACTGTTTTTTGAGTACAAGATGAAAAAAAATAAATAGAACTCTCAGCTTAAAAATCCAACTTTTGATCTAAAGGGTCTGCTATAGAGCGTTTATTAATGATAAAAACGACTGCACAAACAATAAATGGAATGAATTCTATCGTAACTTTACAGAGCATGACTAGATGTGCTACCAAGTATTAAAAACTCCACGTAGAGATATAAATATGCTTATAATTGTCATGAATGCGTAATTGTAAAAGATAGAGAGGGTAAATTTAAGAGATAATTTGATAGGAAACAAGGGACTCATTCCATTTTAAATACCATTCCAGGCGTACAGATGCTGTGCAGCAGATTCCGTGACAGGAATCAACTGACAGACGAACATTTCTGGCTAGCGATTTCTTGTCTGAAACATTGTGTAAGATTATGTCTTTGGGGACGTGTAAGATAAAGAAACATGATACTGACTGGCAAATTAAAACCAATAGATTTTCTCAGACCGCATTTCCAACTTCCTGCATGAGATGTGTGATACATAGTCTTACATCAGTTGGTAATTCAATATTCTTAGCCAGCTCGTATATGTTGTTGTGCAATTCGTTGTGGAATAAAAAAAACTCTCTATTTCCGCAAAACTGCTTCAGGGGATTAAAAAAGGATGTCAGTTGGAAGCCAGAAATTTTGCTTTATAATTTGACCTATTGGTAAATGTTTCCATAAATTTTAAAACCCTTTTAAATCTAAGTGTCAAGCTAAATATTTCCTTGAAACCACAATGCCTCTGTTCGGGCTCTTCTTTTGAAAGTTTTATAGTTTACTGTGGGCGTCTGATCATTATATGTCATTCGGGGAGAGGTTCAGCACTTTGTGAAATGATTGCACTTCCGACTACAGCTGGTTCTTGAAATCTGAATTATAGTGAGATAACGAACAATTAACACTCAAACTCAAAATTCTAATCAAACAATACAAATCAGGAGCAAAGCAAACACAAACCTCCTCAAACACAAACGTCCTCAATATCTGATGTGGGATCGGGTGCCATGAAGAAGTAAGAGTACCCCCTGACGACGGCATACCCTTGATGTTTGCCCCTTGTCATGAGCGGGAAAACCAGTAGATAAGATTATGTTCTCATGTATCGAATAACTGTGAGATATAAACCCTTAATGTGATAAGGTTTTTAGTAAGGAAAGTTACCGAAAGAAAAGATAAAGTCATCAGTTTTTCATAAAAATTTTGTTGTTAAGTTACCACTAACGTCTTTTCTGGTCAAATAAATATCCAATATGAATCATTTGAAGTTAATATCCAAATATGATAAATACGTTTGTATCTGTGGTAACTTAAGTTCACGCTCAATGGGATATATCAGCAGTCTCGTTTAAAGTCATCATTTCGTAAGTTCTATGGTCGATTCCTTGACCTTGTCAGCAAATACAATTTATCATTGAGTCAAATGCTGACTGACGTTTTTCAAACTAATTGTAAGTCCATTATTTATACACTTAATTGACAACGGATTTTTTCCTGATCATTTCCTGATCATGACAGGGAGCACACGGCGGGTGTGACCGGTCGGCAGGGGATGCTCACTCCTCCATGGCACCTGATCCCACTTCTGATGTTTCGGAGGTCTGTGTTTGCTCTGCTCCTATTGTGTATTGTTTTATGGACTTTTGATCTTGAATACTGTTCGTTATCTCCATATGTTTCATTCAAGTGAATTGAAATTATATTTATGTCAATTATACTGATATTTGATTCATTTGAAGGTAGCTACAACTGATTTGAAGATAGAGGTACAAATAATTGAAGATGCCATAGTACTAAAAATATCTGAATATACCGGGTACATGTACATTGATTTGGCGTTTCGTGGTATGGGTAAGTCTGCTACTTGTTATATAGAATGTTGAGAAATAATATATACTAGTACCGGTATATAGATAAATTGAACATTCCCTGATAATTCCATCATATTGTGTACATTCTTATGGATGGATGACGAGTAAATCGACACAAAGTCATTATAAAAGAGAACCAATACGAGCTAGTTTACTGCTAATGACTTCACGGGAAAATTACCTAATAATTAACTCAATTCTAGAAAAAAAATTACCTTCATTGGTTGGTACAATGTTCCTTTCCTTTTCGTAGAAGAAAAAAAAAACTGACATGGAGTCAATGGCATTAAGGTAACAGACCTACTTTTTCTTTCATCTAAAAAGGTTTTGCAGTTTTGAAAAGGTATATTTCGTCATCATATTAATGATATAATGTATTTACTTTGGAGTCTTCTTTGTTTGTAGAGGGCGAATGCCTGTGAGTTTCTTCGGTGGTCTTTACCCAAGAATTTACCGCATTGAAAATGATGGTTTTGTCAATACGATTCTTCAGTATACTCTTTTTTTTGCTACATAATAAACGTGAACAAATAAAATATATATGGCCACGAATAGTGGCCATCAGGCGTGGGAATGATTCCACTTATGACCATATGTACTTTTATCTTAACCCTTTTTTGATTTAAATAATTTTTTAGACATTCAAAAGTAATATTTGAATAATGATTCCTTTTATTTTCATATAACTTGATTTATAAAAAATAATACATGTACAACAAAAATAATTGGCAGCAAGTTTTTTATGATATAATACAACTTCTCCTCTTTCGCGTTGAATGGTCTGAATTTTCCGATGAGGTTGACCCAAGTCTCCGTCGTTTGGGAAGTGGTGTTTTACTGAAACCCAAGTTTGTCTGTCGGAGAATTTCTTTGAATATCCCTGTTATATTTATACCGTCTTTTGCTGAAGCTTCCACATAGCTATTTTCCCAGTCAAAACAAACAATGGATTCGGCTGTCTCTTTCATAATTACTCTATTTTCTTCTGAAATGTCCGATTTGTTCCCAACAACGACTATTGGCATGGTTTCACCTTTTCGTTCAGCTAAAATAATGTCCCTTAAATATTTTACTCCTTGAAATGAGGACTCATCGTCTATCGAATATACTAATACAAAAGCATCACTCGTTGAAATAGCCAGTCTGCGCATGGCCGGAAATGAGTGTGCACCTGCTGTGTCTAAAATGTCCAGAATTAGTTCCCGGCCGTCCACGGTGTATTCTCCACGGTGAAACTCCTCCACGGTTTCTTTGTACTCACTGATGAAGCGGTCGTACAGGAACTGGGAAATTATGCAACTCTTGCCTACCCCAGCGGCGCCCATGATGGTCAATCTATAATGTAATTTGTCGTCCAAGTCGCCATTCCAGTCAGGTAGACTTTGTGAGCGACCTATTTTATGATTGTTCATTGTCACCTTTCTAAACAAAGAAAAAATATAAATAAGTATAGATAAGTGAAATTAAGTAAAATTGTGATTAACTTTAGTCCAAGCATATACAAAACTGACAAAACATATGGATTTTGAACACGGTCATTACAGGTATTTATCTATATAACTTCTATAATCAGGGACCTATATAATAGGTATATAGAGCATGAAGCAGTGTATGATTCACAGCAATATCAAGTATTTTTCGATCATATAAAAGCACTATGCATTAAAAGAAAAACACTTTTTTCATCGAAACTGCCATGGTTTCCTCAAAAAATCATGTGTAAAGAGAGTACTTACTGGTGTTGTTTATCTGAAGTCGCGATTGCTGACTGATGTTAAGTGAGAGCAGACCAATATTTATACTAAAAACGACTTCAGTGGTATCGATTGATAACAGGGGAGGAGTTAGGAATCCAGAGCAATTAGCAGGCAAATTTTCACTTTTAGCATTTCTCTTTTAGAGCCATTTAGACTTTAGATCTTTATAATATCTATGTTAGGATAAAGTGTATTTGATAGCAAAAGGCTTTACAGTGATATTCCAAGGTATTTTAAATCAGTATTATGTAAAAAAAAAATCTTTATCAATGCTTTGTAAAAAAAAAAAAAAAAATTAAAATTTTTCCTTGGGTGACCAAATATAAATATTTCGTATTCTCGAGTCCTTGATGCTAGAAAGTTTAAGAAAGATGATTTTGTTTATTAAATGTCCCTACAAGAGCATTTCACTAATACATGTATTACTACGCTACCACGTACCGATTGAGGGCTAACATCCAATACTAACAACCGCTGAGTAGTCTAAGATTTTTTTGTGCCAGCACATACTTAGACATGGAACCTCGGTTTATAAGACCTCATCCGAAAGTCCTGTCTTTACTTTGTGTAGCTGAACTCGAACCCGCGACTCTAGAACAAACGCTCTAACGACTGCAAAGGAGACGAACTGAAATATTATGAAAAATCTAAACATAACAGCACGAAATTATAGCAAATGGCTTTTATATAATAACTAGTCATTATATACACGCTGAATTGTCGGATGATTATTCCCCTTACATCTCAGTCATGACAAGGAACACGCTGTGTCAAAACTGAGAATTAAACATAGATAGTGAAAATAACGCCTTATGCAACCATAGGAGTTGGCGCGATAAAGAACCTGCAGCACCCCTTAATTTGAGTGAAGATTTGTAGAATGGAGGGATAAGCAACAATCAGGATTGAATGTTTGTGTAAAAGTATAGATATCGCTCTTTATCTCTAGCCACAGATTCTAGAGCTGCTATTTAGATGTATCTGCTTTTGAAAAAAAAAAATTGTTTTCAAATATTGTAATCGATATTTAATTTACTTAAATTCAAGATAAACGATCTAACACACTTTAAGAACACTATTAAACACAATTTAGGTTTCAATACCAATACCGCAATCCTGAATTATATAATTGCTCTGTCTTTTTTTAGCTCACCTGAGCCGAAGGCTCAAGTGAGCTTTTCTGATCACATTGTGTCCGTCGTCCGTCCGTCCGTCTGTCCGTCCGTAAACTTTTCACATTTTCAACTTCTTCTCAAGAACCACTGGGCCAATTTTGACCAAACTTGGTACAAAGCATCCTTGGGTGAAGGGAAATTAAAATTGTTAAAATGAAGGGACATATCCCCTCGCAAGGGGAGATAATCATGAAAAGACAAAAATAGGGTGGGGTCATTAAAAAATCTTCTTCTCAAGAACCACTGGGCCAGAAAAGCTGAAACTTACGTGGAAGCATCCTGGGGTAGTGTAGATTTTAAATTGTTCAAATCATGACCCCCGGGGGAAGGGCGGGGCCACAGTGGGGAATCAAAGTTTTACATAGAAATATATAGGAAAAATCTTTGAAAATCTTCTTCTCAAGAACCACTGTGCCTGAAAAGCTAAAACTTATGAGGAAACATCCTGGGGTAGTGTAGATTCTAAATTGTTCAAATCATAACCCCCGGGGATTGGGCGGGGCCACAATGGGGAATCAAAGTTTTACATAGAAATATATAGGAAAAATCTTTGAAAATCTTCTTCTCAAGAACCACTGTGCCAGAAAAGCTGAAACTTAATTGGAAGCATCCTGGGATAGTGTAGATTCTAAACTGTTCAAATCATAATCCCCGGGGATTGGGCGGGGCCACAATGGGGAATCAAAGTTTTACATAGAAATATATAGGAAACATCTTTGAAAATCTTCTTCTCAAGAACCACTGGGCCAGAAAGCTGAAACTTATGTGGAAGCATGCTGGGATAGTGAATATTTTAAATTATACAAATCATGACCCCCGGGGGTTGGGCGGGGCCACAATGGGGAATCAAAGTTTTACATAGAAATATATAGGAAACAACTTTAAAAATCTTCTTCTCAAGAACCACTGTGCCTGAAAAGCTGAAACTTATGTGGAAACATCCTGGGGTAGTGTAGATTTTAAATTGTTCAAATCATGACCCCCGGGGATTGGGCGGGGCCACAATGGGGAATCAAAGTTTTACATAGAAATACATAGGAAATATCTTTGAAAATCTTCTTCTCAAGAACCATGTGCCAGAAAAGCTGAAACTTATGTGGAAGCATCCTGGGATAGTGAAGATTTTAAATTATACAAATCATGACCCCCGGGGGTTGGGCGGGGCCACGATGGGGAATCAAAGTTTTACATAGAAATATATAGGAAACATCTTTGAAAATCTTCTTCTCAAGAACCACTGTGTCTGAAAAGCTAAAACTTATTTGGAAGCATCCTGGGATAGTGAAGATTTTAAATTATACAAATCATGACCCCGGGGGATTGAGCGGGGCCACAATGGGGAATCAAAGTTTTACATAGAAATATATAGGAAAAATCTTTGAAAATCTTCTTCTTAATAGCAACTGGGCCAGAAAAGCTGAAACTTATATGGAAGCATCCTGGGGTAGTAGATTTCAAATTGTCTAAATTATGATCAGTGGGGTAGGGTGGGGTCACAATATGTATTACAAGGGGTAAATCTAGTAAAGGACAGAATTGTCAAAGCTTCTCAGGTGAGCGATGTGGCCCATGGGCCTCTTGTTTAATTCTGTGTACCGTAACGTGTATACTTTATTTTCGTACAAGTATATGTCCTCTTTTTAGAATTTTTCAGTTCTAATATGGCTACCTCATTTATTTTAAGCTATTTTAGCTATTTTAAGAATATTTCCAATGCATTTCTGAGCACTTCGTCATGAGCTTTGGTCAGAATTATTGTCAATGTACGACAAAATTGTAGTTGACTTACTCAATTCACTGCGTCATTATCTCAAGGATCATTGTAAAACTGTAACTAATGCCTCCGTAACAGGTTTCTGCATTAGGAAAGAAGCTTACGTCTATCAGCGAAAAGGTCAAACTTGACGATATGTTTTATGAGAACAGCCAATCTATTTGCTTTTTAGACTAGACGTTAATAATCGTAGTGTTTTTTTTCATTAAAGCATTTTTTAAAAACCAAATGTTCACACGCAATAAGAATTAAAGAGAGATCTTTCATTAAAAAAAAAAAGGAAAATGAAAACATTGTCGTGTATGAAAGGCTCTCATGTCCACACGCTAAAGCAAAACTAAGATAATTATAAACAGCATTTCCATAAATTTTGCATGCTTTTAGCTATAAACAGAGCATTTAGTCATTAAAATAAAAGAATAGATAACAAGGGCTTCGAAATAGTTTTACTAAATGACGCAGTCAAATGCTGACTGACGTTTTTTCTTGCTTATTGTCAGTCCATTATATACACACTGAATTGTCGACGGATTTTGTCATTCAATCATGCTGAGGAGGACACGGCAGATGTAACCGGTCGGCAGGGGATGCTTACTCCTCCATGGCACCTGATCCCACCCTCTGATGTTTTGGAGGTCCGTGTTTGCTCTGCTTCTATATTGTACAGTTTAATGACTTTTCGCTTGAACATTGTTCGTCATCTCCATTTATTTTATTCACACTTCTTAGTAAGAGAAGTTGAACAGAAGCATTTGTGGGCATAATCATCATCTTACTTAAAAATCCTTCTTGTTCACTTCAATCAACACGCATGTAAATTAACATTTGGCTGAATTGTTTTCATTGGCTGAAAAGGAAATGTCTACCTATTCTTGTATTAACAAATAGAGCGTTGCTGTATTCGTTAGTCAGACTTTAACGTTATAAGACAAGAACTTAAGTTCCATGATTTGTAAGGAAAGCCTTACCGAATGTACCGTCCCTAAAAGTTAGTAGAAAGAAGAGCAATGTTCTTACGTTCGGGTTAAACAAAACAGGTGTACCTTCGTACAGTTCTTTTCATGATTAATATTGCTACAAACATTTAATAAGAAATCTGTGAATCAATACAAAGCGACACTCGGTACACGGTCATCATCCTGTTTAAGTAGTTAATGATGAGAATTAGTTTGAAATTCTTTCGTCTTTTATAGGAATCATTAATATTTAATTAGTTATTATTAATGGAAGATAACTGTCTTTTTTGACAAGTCATTGACTGTCGTCTGTCTCCTGGTGGAGTTCAACGAATCATATTTGATCTGATATCAAAAACCTTATATTGAAATAAATATCTTTGTTGCAAGACAGTGAGTTCAGTGATTTGAATTTTCATCTTGACATATGTAAATATATTTGGAAAATCTAAAATTGCCTCGCAGAGATTGGGTTCAGTGGCCATGATTAATAGGTACTAAACCTGAGAAATCTACCTAAGTATCATAATCATTTTCTACTGGGTTTCTCAATGTCAATGAAATGCACAATCAAAAACAGAACAGAGAAAACGTTTTGCTATATTTACTATATGCTAATGACAGATAATCTTACATGGAGGAACCATGAAATGCCAAGAAAGGGACGTTTTAAAAATTGACTGATTAATTCCTTCAAAGGAATGGCTTATCTATATTGATTTACATATAATGATATCCAAATCATATTTACATAAAACAGTGTCCTCATTAAGTGTCGATAACTCAGAATCTCACAATGAGATACCAATAAATTTGATATTCAAACTTTATACAAAGCCCACAAGTGTCCCATAAGTCTAATTGGACTTAAGCGTTGGGTATTTATGAATATTAAAAATAATATATTCATGTTCAAATACAAAATCCAATTACTTTGGAGAAAATACAATTTCTTTTGCGCAAGTATTACAAATAATTTGCATTCTGTAATTCTTCATTTGTAATTTAAAAATTTCCAGTTGAATGTAAATTTTTCATTTGCATTTCATATTTTAACATTTTAATTAATTTTTCTTTTCATTTTCCCCAAAAGACCTTTATATACAATTAAAACATTAATTAT